CAGGTCACACCTGGGGGGTTCCTGCCTGGGTCTGAATTGAATCACTTTGACAAGAGATATGGGGTCCTGCACTTAGCAGAGGGGGCTCCCCTTTTTGGGCTGCACTGAATCATTTAAGTGCTCACAAAGTGAAGATCAAACCACAGACTTACTAGAGTCCCTAAATAAACCTTATCTGCACCAAGCACACCCATCAATTTTACTGCCATCAAGCAGATACAGAAGGAATTAGTTGCCAGGGAATGCTTCTAATTTAAATGTTAGCAGCTGTTATTATTTCGGAGTGGCAAATTTTATGATTTTGCCTAAAAGTCTGCTCTCAGTAAATTAAAACATTTTGTAAAAGCTGGATTATATCTGCAACAACTCTTCCATATCGAGAGGGGAATGCAAGAGAGAGCTGACGGTGATTAATGTTAGTGGGGATGAAGGAACACACAGATAAAGCTTGTGTTGCCAAGTGCTGCGGGCTGAGCAGACCTTTTCCTCCCCAGAAGCCAGATCTTGGTGTAACCTGCGCAGAAAAGCGTTCCCCAAAGCACTCGGTGGCTCTGAATGTCTTTTAAAGTAAATGCAGCTCGGACCATTGCTTTCACCCGTGGTGACCATTGCAGAAGGGCCAGTGGCTGGGCCAGTGCAGGTGAGTCACAGCTCTCAGCAGGTTGCCATCCCTCCTGGCCCTCCTTTCACCAGGAATTACGGCAGGACACACCAAAGCTCCTCTGCCTTTCCCCATCTTCAGACACAGTCTACTCTAGGCTTTACTATTGCCGTGACATTAAGCTGTTCTGCACAGCAAACAGCCCCGAAGTTAAACATATTTGTGATTCTGAACTGTTAGCATCTGTCTGGATTACAGGGCTGCTTTATTTAATTCATTACTGGGGTATTCACTCCATTACCACTAAACTTGGTTTATTTTTAAAGTCCTATTATCGAGTCCATGAAACATCCTGCAAGATTTCTATGCCTGTTCATCCCACATTTTCTGAGGCACAAAAGCAATTCTAGTAATTGCAAATGAAGAGGAATACCGTGTCCTCAGAGCATTAAAGCAAATATAAAAAAACGAGAAAGTTCCCAGATCATAGTTTTCAAGGACTGTCCAAACTCTTATTTATAACACACCTTTTGAGTGGAATGAAAAAAAATCTAGGGGTTGATATATAGCTCTCACTCTTTCTGTTATTTATCAAACCTGTTTTTAAAACAGAAAAGTGTAAACTGGTAACATCTCTAGGGAACAGGAATCTTTCAAAAAGCTGCCTGATACAACAGGCACATTGAATGAATTTTCCCTCATTTAGACTTGAGAAATTTAGCTGTTGAATTTTCTCCCTCTGGACAAGGCTCAAGCACTGAAACTTCCCATCTACTCAGCTGCTTTCAACTCGGGATGGCAAATCACAAACAATTTCAATTCTCAATTTCAATTATTATTGCACCAGTAGACCCTGTTTTAGGTTTTGCTCGGTGTGGTCCCCTGCAGACCCTGGCCTGGGAGGAGAGAGGATGCTCCTGGAGGCACGGCTGGTTTCTCTGAGGGTTGCTCTCTGGATCTCCTTTGCATGTTCTGAAGCAGAAACTGCTCAAAAGTGGGAGCAGCACTTTTTCTCAAGTAGCTTGCACAAGCAGAGGCTGAGGGACTTGGGTCTGGAGAAGAGAACACTGAGGAGGGATCTGATCAATGCTTATAAGTACTTAAAGGGTGGGTGTTAAGAGGAAGGGGCCAGTCTTTTTTCAGTGGTGCCCAGGGATAGGACAAGAGGAAATGGGCACAAACTTGAACGTAAGAAGTTCCACCTAAATGTGAAGAGGAATTTCTTTACTTTGAGGGTGGCAGAGCCCTGGAAGAGGCTGCCCAGGGAGGTGGTGGAGTCTCCGTCTTTGGAGACATTCAAACCCACCTGGACACGTTCCTGTGCAACCTGCTCTGGGTGGACCTGCTTTGGCAGGGGGTTGGACTAGATGATCTCCAGAGGTCCCTTCCAACCCCATGTCATTCTGTGAGTAAGTGATTCTGTGACCTTTCCCCACCAGCGTGGGAGGCCTGTGCTCGACACCAGCAACGGAGCTTGGAGAAGGATGAACAGAGAGACAGACAAGAAGCTGAAAAATGCACTTTTGGAGTGTGATGGGAACTTTTGCATTAGTAAAATGTTTAATGTAATGGCCTTGTATTCTCAGTATTTCTCTTATGCCCTTTTATGAGGTCTTTACATACCTTATAACTATGAAATACAATAATCTGCAGGGACCCGAAGGGACAATTTCAGCTTTGTGAGCTCAATACTCCAGTAATGAAACATTTTCTTTATATCTTCATGGGAGCAGACAGGGACAAGCATTTTAATACGTGTACCTACTAAGACTGTGGTAACAGCCTGAGAAGAAAGACTCCATTACTATTATGATCTGGCTCACCATTAAGTACTGTCCGATAATCAAGCTGAATCATGTCTTTAGAAGTCATTTCTTTAAAATTAGCTTAAATTAAGGTGTGAGATTGAGCAGCCTTGACCCTGGACACTTTTACATACTGTACACTGAAACTGGCTGCTGGATTATCTGCCTTATCTCTGCCAGGCAGGAAAAAGTCCCTGCAGGCAAGTACTGGGATGATACCATGAACCCACTAAGTCCAGTGACTCAGCCCTAACAGCCGACTTGGCCTCTCTGAGCAAAGACAATGTCATCCATGCTTTTGTCCAAAAGACCATGGTATCCTGTGTTACAGGTCATGAGAGACTTCTCTGAGCAAGAAAAGTGAAGATCAAGTGAAACACTGTCTAAAAATGAACTGTAGCAATGACCTGTGAAAATCATAGAATCATAGAATGGTTTGGGTTGGAAGGGATCTTAAAGATCATCTACATCCAACCCCCCTGCCATGGGCAGGGACATCTCCCACCAGACCAGGTTGCCCAAAGCCCCATCCAGCCTGGCCTTGAACCCCTCCAGGGATGGGGCAGCCACAGCTTCTCTGGGCAACCTGTTCCGGTGTCTCACTACCCTCACAGTAACTTTGGCCCTCATCAGCACTTAGTCTACATTAGATCTAGTCAGAAAGTGGATCTCCATCTCAGTTGAAATGTCAGCAATTTGACATTTCTTTTTGACACAAAAAAGCACCAAGACAGAAAATGCTAAATAATGTCATGAAAATGAAATGTTCCAAGAGCTTTTGACTCAAGGAATGTCAAAGTGAGAAAGCCAAAAATCGTTCATAGAAAAAAGGTTGCCTCTGTGCAATTCAAATGAGCGTGTTTGAAAAAGTACATTTCTCCCTTACTTTCTCTGCTTGACTTAGAGGACCCAGAACAAACGTTAAGTTATGATGCACGACGAGCACTGAAGTCTACTAAAAGCGGCTCAGAATGTTTATAAGTGGATAATAACTGCAGCAAAACAGCATATGATTGCTTAAGTGTTTGAACCTTTGACAGAGTAAATCATTTCTGCAGAGAATACTGCAGTATGCCAATAGCATTGGGCACACAGGGCGTTTCATGATGATGGGGTTTGTGCCTGTGCATCTAAATGCTGTTCTGCCAAGTTGTCCTTCTAATGCATGGCAAAGGAATGAAAGGGAACGTGAGGAAATGAGCACGTAACCACAAAGCAAAGGAGCTCCAGGATGAAGCTCCGAGTGTCTCCACAGCCTCTGTAATGCCACGGTGGAGACACCGGTGGGTGCTTGCCCACCCCAGAGCCACTCAGCGCAGACTCCCAGCCATGCCAGGGCCACCAAGCGTGTCAGAAAGGGTATGTGTGTGCATGGATATCCATACATACACAGGATGGCATTCACCATGAAGCCCTTGGCAGCAATTTCTGCATCTCCAGAAGATGCGTGAAGGGAAGTGGTTGCCATTTCTCCTTTGGCAGCAAGAGTCCTGGCCTCACACGTGTCACCGCCCTCCACCTTCACGGCTGTAAGTGATGTATTTGTGATTTACAGTCCTCCAGATAAAATCCTGACTGAGTTTACACAACAGAAACTATGAAGAAAAAAAGATGAAATGCCCCACTTGCCAGTTCGTGCCCTGGGCAGGCTGTGGGCCAGAAGAAAAAACGGGGTCTGAGGATGCTGGGGAGGGGTGGAGAAGGCTGGTGACATCTCTGAAGACACATATGACAAAAGCACTTATGCCAAAAGACATTCTGTGTCGCCAAACGAATGCTGGGATGCAGAGCCTGTCAGAAACACCAAGAAGTTGACTTTTGTCTCCTGTCCCATGTGCAAACCTGCCTCTTCCCCACACAGCCTCTCCTGCCCTCCCAGTAGCCACATGGCCCCCACTCTGGGGTGCAGGGTCCCGCTGCAGGAAGGCAGCACAGAAAGGCTCGTTCCATCTGAGTTTCTGAGCTTGGATCCTGAGCTGCTCTATAAATGACTGTGTCTGCAAAGGAAGGGAGGCAGGATAGGGATTTCCACCTGTGCTGCTGCTCTTTGCTCCTGCTCTCCCCTCCCTGTCCCAGCTCAGTGCACAGAGGGCTGAGCTGCAGCACAAGTCTCTCTGGACACCCAGCAGCACCCTGAAACTTCTGTTCTCATTTTCAGGTTGCATTTCACTTTTTTACGCTGTCCTCCATGCCAGGGGAGAGTGAGAAGGAGACACTGCCAGGCACAAAGCTGGGAGCTCTCTGGAGGCAGAAATCCTACAATATTCTCTGCTAAAACTCTGGAACAGAGAGAAAGGAAGATGCTGCAGGTTAGTAAGGATGTTTCACCCCACGAGCTGTTGTGCTGGGTACCCAGAGAGGCAGAGGAGAAGGAAGAGGGAGGGAAGATGAGAGCACATCCACTCCCTCTGCGTTTTGCTGCTCTGCCAGATCTGCACATGTCAGCCTCTCCCATCGTCAATGTGTGGGGTTGCAATCCACCTCAGGAGAAAACTAGGAAGAGATACACTATTGGCTATTTCATATGCGGTGTGTCATCTGGCAGGCTGTATATATCACAGGGAAAGCAGGGACCACTCAGCCTCTGAGCAAAGCTGCTTCACTGTATGGCTCAGAGACACTTTGAGGATGGAGAAAAAAGGGAAAGGCAGCCCTGGCTTTTCTGATTCCGACAAGCTCTAAAAACTCTTGAGAAATGGAGACCTGACAGATGAAGGACTATGTGGAAAACCAATAGAGCAGATTTCCAAGGAGGAGTTGCGGGAGAGGAGCAGAACAGCACCCAAAGGGGAATATTCACTAGGATTTCTTCCTAGTGTTTGGGGATCTCTGATATTTCCACACCTGAAGCAGCTTCTGTAAATAAGACATATGGGACTGAAAAAGGAAGAGCAGCTGGAGCATCCCTGGAGCAAAGCTCACATGTAATCAGCACAGGAAAACGGACCCATTTATCATCTCTTTTATGTAGTTTGCAGCCACAGGGCAGATATTTTAAAATGCAAGCATGTGTGTCCCCTCCTGCAATCACTGACTTCAGCAGCTGAAGGAAGGAGGGCAGAGAGGAGCGTGCAGCCTGCCCTGGGGACATGGGCAATGTTAGAGCCATGAGCAGGCACACGTGGTTCCCTTTGCAGTACATCTCCAAGCCCTTCTGGAGAGGGGAGAATCACAACACCACCAACTTCTTCTCTGCCCTGTACGGCTTCCCTAACCAATCCTTCTTCCACAGTGACTTGGACCTGGAGGACCTGGGGGACTTTGAAAGCGGCACCAGGTATGAGGGCGAGTCGCAGAGCCGGACGGTGAAGGCGCTGCTGATCGTCGCCTACTCCGTCATCATCTGCATCTCCCTCTTCGGCAACATCCTGGTGTGCCACGTGGTGATCAAGAACAAGAGGATGCACTCCGCCACCAGCCTCTTCATCGTCAACCTGGCCGTCGCCGACGTGATGATCACCATTTTGAACACCCCCTTCACGCTGGTGAGCACCCGGCTTCTCTGTGTTCTGCTGGTGTCTGTGTGTGCCTGTCAGCTGTGTGCACGTGTACTGAATGGGCTGGTAATGGGCTAATACACAGAGTTTCTTCTTGGTGTGTCCTCCCCTCCTCCCTTTTGCCTTCTGGACAAGCTGCATTCGTGCCCCCCCCCTTCCCTGACACCCCCTTGCAGGCAGGGTTGGCTGAGCAGAGCCAGGACCTCACAATCCTGTCGGGAGGCATCGCTCCTCCTCAGCTTTCCTCCTTCTTCCAGGTCGGTGGCAAGGCATGGCTATGTGCCCTTTGATGGGGGAAGGAAGCAGGGACAAGTTTGACACTCAAAAGTCCAAATAACTGCCAATTTCCTATGGAAATGAGGCAAATGAGGTCAGTCCTCCTGAAGATGATGGCAGCGAGAGCTGCCAGGTCTGTGCTTGGCGTGCCTCTTACTTGGGTGTCACGAACTGTGCTTCTTGGGGCTGACTCCCCTTTGTTTATTTTCAGTTACTAAATAATATAGGACATAAAAAAAATGTTAAAAGAATGAGGTGGGAGGAATGAAACAGATTCATTTCTTGCCCCACTGTCACCATCTATAAACACTGTGTAAGTGGAACTCTCTGTAGAGCTGAATGTGAAGCATCCCTCTGGTTTGAAAGCATCCCAAACACTCCTGCTTCAGTCCTTAGAGCTGGCCATAGTGTTCTTCCACCTTCCAAAAGCACTCCCTGAATTTATCAGTTTGAATTCACCTTTTCTTAAGTTGAGCCTGTTTCTTCGGTGGGATTTCTCTGCCTCTCTCTGATGGGATTCGTGTCCCATAATCCGTTCAGGGAAAGGATAGTGCCCTCTTGTGTGTTTGCACAACACTCTCACATTAGGCACACGTAATTAAATAACTGTAATCTCTCTTAGGAAAGAGCTTCACATCAACTTCAAAGAAACAGCACATTGCTACACATTCAGTGACGGTCATTACTACCAGAGTTGTCTCCATAGAGAAATTAATTAGATTAATTGAAAAGAGATTAGCTAGTCTTGACTAATTTTCTGTGTGGACAGATGTTTTGTAGTAAATGTGCTTTATTTCAAATTAGCTTAATCTGCTTCCAGAATGAGTTACATTAATTTGGAATAAATATTGCTCAGTCATAAATAACAAGGGAGTGAGACAACTGCCGTTATTTGGAATAATCTCTTCTGCAGAAAAGCCACGATAAGTAACACCTCTCTGGGAAATCATAAGAAATGTCCTGCTGTCCTTGTCACTGCAGCTTTGGGAGGGCTTTAAATGTTCCCTGCCTCCCTCCCTTCCCTGGGATTTCATGCCCAGGTGGAGATGGCTCCTGGACCTGCAGGGGTCAGATCAATGAGGAAGGCGGCCCAGCTTGGGAAGTGTGAGTTGCTTTTTCAACAGGAGGGTAAAATCTTCCTCTCTGCTTGCGCAACTTAATTGACACCCCTGGAATTGCTGTTGATGTATCTCACACGATGTGATGAGAGTCGGGCTTAGAGAGCAGCGTGTGAGAGAGACCCTACCACCCAGCTCCACGTCTTGTTTCTGAGCATGGGTGGCAGCTGCAGACCCCAGGGAGGGTATTGACACCGGGCAGGTGGGCAGGGATGCTCCACAGACAGGCAGTCTCTAACTCAGAGGTGTTACCTCCCTATTTCACTGCCCTCAATGATTTTTCCTTCCATGAATTTCTCTCGCTAAGTTTTGAACCCACAGAACTTTCAGCATCCACAAATTCAAACATTTTAACACTGACAGCCGTGCAGCTGGTTTTAAGGAGGCAAGCTACATTTTTTCCCTACAGAGCTGAACCAAGATTTCTTTGCATTTTCCAGAAGGGCCATGCCACATGTACACCTGCACGTGCAAACACACATACACAGGGCACTACTCAAGTGGATTTGTTTGCTCAGCATAATAAATCTCACCTCTGTTTCAAAGCCTCTCACATAGTCACTCTTTCCCCAGAAAAACTGAGTACAATGCATCTACAAAGCATGAGGAAGCTCCATTAAAGCATTTCTTCCTTACCATACTCCAGGGAAGTCTATTTGCTACTCTTCAGATAATGCACACTGTTTTAATCCAATTTTGTCTGTTCTGCAGGTGCGGTTTGTAAGCAGTACCTGGGTTTTTGGAAAGCTGATGTGTCACATAAGCAGGTTTGTCCAGTACTGCTCCGTCCACGTGTCTGTGCTGACCCTTGCTGCCATCGCTCTGGATCGGCATCAGGTAAGCAACAAACACCACCACACCTACGTTTGCTAGAAAATATAGTGCTAAATACATTGTTTTTCCCCCTTCGTTTATGAAGAGTCGTACAGTTTTTAGGTTTGCCCCATTACTTTGGGATGCCTAAGGCTGGAAGTAGTGAGAACTGTGTTACCACCTTCAGTTCAAGGGGAGAAATTCTCTTCTCTTCCCCTCCCCATATTTTTTTGGTGAACGCCAGCCAGGAAAACCTTACAGGTCAAGCAATGAGCGCAAACCAAAGGGTTTCCTTGAGAGAGCACTGGGAGAGCAGATCCTGCAAGGTGTGCTCTCAGGCAGACTGCCTATTTTCCTTGCAGGGCTGGAGTCACGGAAATAGTTGTTACTGAAAAGCAATTTCACATGACAAATGACACGGCTAGATGAAGTTCAAAACAATAATGGATTCCACTCTGATTGTCTGGGATGTGCTCCATCTGGTGTCAGAAAATTACCCTGACTGACAGAGTACAGATCATCCATTTCTGTCCTTTTTTTTTTTTACCACAAAAAGTTTGGTTGTCTGCCCATTCTATATGCAACATTACAGCTCCCGAAAGGAAAGCATTTGGATAATGATTCGTTTTAATCAGTAGATTCCGAGTTGATTGCAAAGCATGGCTTGGTATCAAGAAGTGTTTTTTTAACTAAGGGCAAACACACCACCTGCCTTTAAATTCAGGGGAGTAGGTTCCTCAGAACTGGAATTAACTAGTATGGCCCAAGGAGATAAAAATAGAAGTAAGGAGATGTCACTGAGGAAAGAGAAATCAACACTTGGCCTCTAAAAATACTGCTAGTCCTGAGAGGTACCAGAGCAGACAGATGCTCAGGGGAGTTGTAGAAGCTCGATTAAGTAGATATTTATAATGAGACTAGAAAAGACATGCGTAAAATACCAAAGGCTTCCTCAGCCAAAAGATCATTTGGATGACATGATAGGTCTATTTTTAACTATTGCTTCATTGCCTAATATAATCATCCATAGTGCACGTAGCTCAACAGATATCTAACCATCATGATCTCTGAAGCCAAACTGATGCGTGTTTCTCTGCTCAGGGCTCTGGGCCAGCAGTAACATTTAATACTTGCACATCTCTTTGCATTTTCCACCCCTGATACTCTCCAGAGTCCTGTAAAATGAGTCTGTCCTTTCTGCCTTTTAACCCTGGTGGGATGCAGAGCTGCTGCAGTACTTTGAACTTCAACGTGGGGCTGAAAGAGTGACTAAGACAGAGAAGAACGCTTACAGCTTGTTTTTATCAATTGGAGACTTTGTAAATCCTCAGGATTGGTTGTTCTCTGCAGGTCATCATGCACCCTCTCAAGCCCCGCATGTCCATGGTGAAAGGAGGGATTTGCATCATTATCATCTGGGTTATGGCCAGCTGCTTCTCCCTGCCTCATGCCATTTATCAGACTTTGACAAGATTTTATATCGGGTAAGACATTTACATGGTGCTTTTTTTAATATGACGTGCAGGTTAATCAAAACCCCACAGATTTTAAGGCACACATCTCTCCGTCTGTGTTATTAAATAGGAAAGCCTGGTGAAACAGAGAAGTCTTCCTTCTCTTTGACTGCACAGTGTGTTTCCCACAAAAGGACCATGAAAATCAATGGAATTGCTTTCAAGCCTGTTTGTTGGTTGATTTTGGCTCAGAGATTCAGCCCTGTAATTTGAGGTGGGCACAGAGGAGAGGTGCTCTTTGTCGTTAGAGGGCGCAGATGTCAATATGGATTATTGTTTTTTCTTTTCCTGGAGATGTGTTTACAATATCTTCACTGGGGCCAAAGGTCAAACTTGAAGCAAAATTTTCCATTGGAAGTGGCACTTGTCCGTGTTACTGCATGAGTTCTGCTACCTGTACCTTTACTGAAACTTTTAAGAACATCTGAGATGTTTGTGTAAGAACATCCAGGTGTTGTGTGCATCCAGTAGAGGAATTGACAGTTCTTTCTCTCTCTGCTCTTCAGGAACAGAACAATACGAATGGTTTGCCTCCCCAGCTTCCCTCCTCCTGCTGATCTTTTCTGGAAGTATTTGGACTTGACTACTTTTGTTCTCTTGTATGTCCTGCCCTTGCTTGTGATCTCCATCACCTATACCATGGTGGCCAAGAAGCTCTGGCTCAGAAATGCCATCGGGGACCTCACCATGGAGCAGTACTATGCCCATCAGCGGAAAAAGAAGATGACGCTGAAGATGCTGATGGTGGTGGTGATTGTGTTTGCAGTATGCTGGTTCCCCCTGAACTGCTACGTGGTGTTGATCTCCTGTAGGGCCATCCACAGTAGCAACGCTCTGTACTTTGCTTTTCACTGGTTTGCCATGAGCAGCACTTGCTACAACCCCTTCATTTACTGTTGGCTGAACGAAAGCTTCAGATCTGAGTTGAAGTCCTTGCTGTGTGTGTGCCGGAGAAGGAGTGCAGCCCAGAGCCACGCTCTGCAGTCCATCTCCCCCCCTTTCAGACATGCCTGGGTTGAGAACTGCCGCTATAAAAGAGGCAGCACCTGCCAAAAGGCAAGAGCATCCTCCCAGAGGAACTCTGCAAAGACAGACATATCCAGCGTTCAGCCAATTGTGGCAGAAAGCTAAATCTTTCATGTGATGGCCAGGCATCGTGTTGTAATTGCAGAAAAACTGAGTTGGAAAGGACTGCTGGAGACCACCTAGTCCAACCTTCTGCCCAAAGCAAGCTAACATCAACGTTTGACTGGGTTGTTCAGGACCTTGTCCAGTCAGGTTTTCAAAAAAATCTCCAGGGATGGACTGCCCACACGTGGGCTCCAGAATGAGGGGTGGGGAGGGAATTTTTCACCAGAACAGTCAGCAAAACTTAAGAGAACTTGTTCACAGCACACAAAATCTATCAGCGCCTAAGCAAAAAAGGGGAAAATTAGTAAAAATTACTGAAAGGAAAATTGGTTCTGTTTTACCTCAAACTGGGACACCTACACTGATTATGCACATGCCAACTGGTGCACACTGTTTTAAAGTAGATGGCTGTTCGTGCATATAGAAACATTGCATTGATGCCTTCTTTTTATTTATTTGCAATTTATCCAAGATGAGTAACATTTAAAGCCATTCTCAAACGTATACCCAGCACCTGTCAGCTGCTTTCTCTGCTGTTGGAGATCTATGGCTCTGCCTCTCCTCCTCCCTGTGTCCCACGACGGCTGGCCCTGCCTGCCAGTGCAGGGGGAAAAGATTCAAAAATCACCACTGGAATGCAGCTTAGAAGCAGGACAGAAAAAACTTGCTCCATTTTTGCAGGTGTTCTTCTTTCAGTGGCTTGTTTTATTCTGTAAGGACTACCAGTAGTCACCTCAAAATGCTGCTTATTCTGCAATCTGTGGACAAGAGAGAAATTATGCAAGTGAGCTTATTCTCAAACATGAGCTAGCTGAGGGATCAGCCCTTTCTTAAAACATATACCAAATGTCATTTTGCTAAGGACTAAACTAATGCCCACTCACAAAACACCACCAGCCACCCAATAAATAGAAATGATTCCAGAGGAATTTTTTATTTTTGCACTTTCTACTATGTTGCTTTTTTGATGGATTTCTATTATCTATTCTATACTAAATTGGAGGTCAGATGTGGTGTTTAGATGTGGTGTTGGGGGATATGGTGTAGGGGGAGAACTTCATAGAGTAGGGTTGGTGGTTGGACTCAATGATCTCAAGGATTTTTTCTAACCTGAATGACTCTACAATTCTATGTTGACAGTCAAAATCATTTTACGGAGCTTGTACCAGTGGAGACACCAGTTTGAGTCTAATAGCTTGGCAGTCATGTCCACTGGTCCCAGCAAGTTAAGCTGTTGACCTGAGGGCAGCTCCCCAGGCTGGATGCCAGCCCAATGTTGGGTACGTTTGGAGGAAGCCCTCAGGGACTGTGGACTTCAGACACCAATGTCCCTACCTGACCTTCCAAATTAGGGGTGGTCAGTTGCCAGCCCAGCGATAGGAACTGGGATGTGACCAGTTTCTCTAGCACTGGGAGCACTGGAGGTGAGTAAATGGGAGGGGTATCACTCTGTGGGTGGGGAAGAGTGGGTTCCAGACTCACCTAAGTGCTGTAAGGTCCGCACAAATAAACTGCACAAATATAGCTCTTTACCTATTTTGTGAAAAATGTTGTAGTTAAGAATAAAACCAGTATGCAAGCACCCAGAGGTGGTAAAGTCTGAATTGTCTTGCCAGGATGTATCTGGAGAGGGGTGCTGGCCAGTAGGTACCTGTTCTGCTGATATATGTATATGCAGGGCTTTGCTATAGTCCCTAGGCTTTCCCTCAAGAACATCTCACATCATTATATTTCCTAAGAAAACCATATATTGCCATATTTTAACACTGTTCATTGAGATTTCTTTAGAGTAAGGTCTGCATTTTTTTCAGTTCCAGTAATATTTTACTTTTTTACCAGCCCTCAAGAACTGTGTCCTTTTGTGGCGTGCCAGTCTGTCTATCTGTCTGTCCTGGAGTCAACCCGCTGGGCAGCAGTGATAACTGCTTGGCAGCTGCCAAACAGGGCACCCTGCTTTGCCCCAGGTGGAACCTGCATTCTGACTCCAGGTGTTAGCAACAGATCTGCCCTTTTTTAAAACCAAAAGGCAGGAGGCGGGCGGGGGGAGGGAAAAGTTGGCAGTAGATAAAAGAGTTCATTTGTAAACCTTTATACACTTCCCCCGCTCAATAAATCTGAGCATCTGATAATGTGCCACAGCGATTGCCTCAAATACTGATACTTGCATTCCTGCTGCTCTGGGTGGTGATGGAGGGCTTTCAGCAGCGTTTATCCCGTTGGGAGCTCTGGCTCCGATACGTAATGGAATAGCTGAGATTCCTCGGCGTGTGGGCAAGCGGGCGCACCGGACAGCCGGGGCAGGCAGCTGCTGGTCTGACTGGTCACAGTGGGAGCCAGCCCTGGCATTTCAGAGCTGGATTTGGATCCCCAGTGAGAAATACCAGGTGGGAGCATGTGGCCAGCTCCAAACTGTGAAAATTCCCCAAAACTGCATTTTTCTCTTCCTCAGAAAAAAATACTCGGTTTCCTTATTTGTGTCCATTCAGGCTGGCTTGGCCTTCGTGATTGCGAAGGATTTAGTCTCAAAAGACAGTGAAAGGAAAATTACTTTCATCCTTTCTGTGCAAAATAATACTAATTACGCTTCTACAGCTTGGCATCTCCACTGAAGACTAGCAGTTTGCTGCAGTTGCAAATCTGAGCGAAAGACTATTTCAATTTGGAAAATAAGATGCTTGGATAGGTACAAGAATGTTACTGTGTGACCTGAGAATGTATTTGCATCTAAAAAAGAAACTGTGAAGGTGAGGAAAGAGAAGCGTAACACAAATCTTGCCTCTTCCTAAGATAATTTTGGGAAGGGGAGAGGACAGAAGAGCATCAGACAAGGAACAGAGACCTCACATGGCTTGAAATACTGTGAAACACCCTGGCATTTCCAAGGCTTGTGCTGCAAGTAAATGGTCCCCTCCTACAAAAGGTGATTACTTGTCCCTACTGCGTGTATTCAGAATTACTCTGCAGAAGGATGAGCTTAGGGGAGGAAACTGAATTAGAAAAAATCACTTGAGAGAACAAGCACCCAAGACTCAGATGTCTCCTCCAATTCACTGACAAGAAATGTGTTTTTTTAACAGACTTTCTCCTGCGGGCTTTATCATGTGAGCCTTCATTTTGTCTACGCTAATGAAGAAGTGTAAATGGAGATCTGAATGGGGCTGGCTCAGTGGAGGCAGACGTCTGAGTCTTTCATTTTATGTTACAAGTAAGTAACAGCATAAACCTGATATTACTACTAAGTTGATTTTTTCACTGTGTGGAAAATTTGGAATTCATAACACTGCAAATGGCATTTCTGTAATGTAACTGTCTGGAGGGTCTCTATAAACAAGATGTCTCTTGTTAAAAAACAGACAAACAAACAAACCACAAACCCAAATACAACATTGTTAAGGTGAATAATTTAATGAAACGTCTTCTCATTCAAATACTCTTTTTACATTGGAAAAAGATCAATGAAACTAAATAATGCAGTTCGCATGGAAATCCCAATGGACTCCCAGAGAACTCTTTACTCCAGAACAAATAAACCAGACAGAGTCTGTTCTTGCTACTCGTCTTTTTAGTAGGACATCAAGCTGGGTCAGGCTTCCTTCAGCCTTTGCACAGAGGGATCCACGGTGTACACCCAGGTGAAAGCCAGAGTCAGCCTGTGTGACAGCAGAGGGTGTGCAGAGATGTCCCTCACCTGGAAAGGGGTCTCTAAGGGACAGTTTGCTCCCAGACAGAAATCTGACATTGGCTTCCTAACTGCACATCCTTGCTTGGGTTAGAATCTGCAGTTAGGCAGTGTTGAGCTTCCTTTAAAAAATATTATTTCCTTGAGGCCATTGTCAAAAGCTTACATTTTTGTAGAAGTCTGGCAAACTTCGCCATCATTATATGCAGCCTTCTGCTGGGGGCTCTTGCTTTAACATGAGCTCTGTCAAAATTTCCATATGGTTGTAATACAACAAGATTCGATTCACCGATGTTTTTTGTGGAGCTGATAACAGCCAAATAAAATACCTCCTTTAGGACCCTCTCTCTCCTGTGGAATTTATTGGAAAAAAAACCAGAATTAACTTTAAAATTTTGGATTGGAGGTATCCCCTCTTGGTTACGTACCTGAGGATTAGCAGGAAAGCAGACTGCTGCTCCTGACAGTCTCAAAACTACCACCAATACTTATGTCCGCATGTGTTTTGACATCTTTCAGAGTGAAAAGCCCTTTTGTGAAACGCAGAGCTATGATCACCCAGTTGAGGAGTCAGCCAGGGACGTGTGCTGGCTGTAAATGCCCTCAGGCTTCCATGCCTTTCATCGCAGCTCTTTGCAGCAAACAGTTGATCTCGGCAGCACTTCTCCTCACCTGGGTGCCTCAATCCAGCCAGCAGCATGGGCACGTCTAACTCAAATTAAACTCTTATTTTCCAGTAAGCACTACCATGAGTGGAAGCACAGCTCAAATTCCTGTGCATTTCTCCCAAGTGCTCCTCCCAGGATCCTCAGCTATCTCGTGGGTCTCCTTCCCCTCAGTGGGGACCTCGCTCTCTCCATCACCTTCCACCAAGCAAATAGGGTAGGAAAGGTGCACCACTGAGGCTGCTATATCTCTGCCACCCTTCTTTGAAACTGGTTAATGAAGTCATATTTTTTATTTGGGAGGAACTGCTTGGTAACAACACATGCAGTGGGATTGTGCAAGACCAGGTCTCTTTGAGCAAAGCTGGAAGTACAACCCCAAAGCCTCAGGCAGGGAACCTGGTTACCAAAGATGCTACATCAAATCCTAGCTCCACACCTCCTGAAAAAAGGCAATATGCCATATATAGAGTGCCCTGCATCTACATTAAAATAGCTCTGTGGTATTCAAAGTGTTAAAAGACAACTATACTAAAAGAAAACATTTTATTGTCATCTCTGAAGAGCTGTTTCTTACACCTCTCCTTTTGAAGAAAGTTTACAAGCAGAATAATGAATAGTGAATCATTTAACCAGCTCTGATCAGCTTCACGCAGCTCCAGAAGGGTCAGAAGGTGCCCTTTCTTGAGAGGGCTCTGAGGTGTGTAAATATTTTAAGTCACTGAATACAGTGACATGAATATAGACACCGAGCGATGAGGCTGAGTACCCCACAGCATCACAGCATTTTGTTTGTACTAGAAGGTGGGTCAGGCAGAATAAAGATCAGTCCCTTTCTGTATGACCTTGGTGAAAAAAAACCCTTTTAGGAAGAGTTAATGCAGCACAAACATAGGAAGGTCCCAAGGAGACCCTCTGCCCCATGTGCCCCAGCACAGGGGATGCCACCCATGCAAGGAGCTGAGCAGGAGAGCAGTCAGAGCACCCAGTCCCGGTGTCCTGCCTGTCCCACACCTTCAGCCAGGGCTGGCAGTGAGCAAGGAAACCAGATTTCCAACATCTCCCCTCTACATCACTCCATCTAAGGCGGTGCAGCAGGGAAAGAAGTAAATGACTTTGTTTTACACTGAAAGTAATGGCTCCCATTTGGATACTGACCTGCATGGCCTGGGTTGTGGCTCAATATTTTATAGCATCTGACAGAGGTTTAATAGCATATGATGGTGTGAAATGGGCTGTGAAACCAGAGCAAGACCTCTGTAAAAGGGGTTCCATGAAAATGATTTTTTTTTCCACTAGGGAAAAAAAAAAAGGTGTGCTCTTAAGAGCAGAGCTCCGTGAAGAACAATATTGTCATGTGGCATGACAGAAACACCTGTCATCCTGAGTAATGCAGGTAAAGCAAGCTTGGCACTAAATAACTTATTTTCACATGGAACTGTCTTTTTTGTGTGCAAATAATCTGTGCCATACCACATAGTGCTGGGGAAACAACCTTATGTCTTCCTAAAAGACGGGAAAAACAAAATATCAAAGGTCTTAAAATGACACTGCTTCCCATGGATGTTTTTCCCTCCTCTAGTAAAAGCTAAAAGCAACGAAAGCTGTTTCTTTTCTCTCCTCCATAACCTGAGTCAAAGGTCCTGAAATTCAATGGAGAAGCCCTCACTGATTTCAGACAGTGCTGCCTGGAGGGTCCGGCACGGGAGACGTTGTGTTTGCTCTGTGAACTTGTCCCCAGCATCAGAGGGAAAGGTGGAATAAGTGTCCTTACATTCTCCTGGTGCAGGACCACCACACCACAGACCACAGGGGATTATTAGTCACATCCTGAGCTATTAGAATCCCACCTGTTAATTGGGTTCGCTTCACAGTACCATCAAAGTGCAAAGCAGTATGGCGCTCTCCTAATCAAGACTTTATTCTGATGTAGAAAGAGAGAGATATACGTAAGTGAGAGAAACAGGGAAATTTATCCATCCATAGAGGGACCTTCTCATTTTGCCTTTAACTGTGGTAAGGAGAAATCTGAAGATTTGCTGGTAAGGCTCTCCTAAGCACAGTACTCTAAACATGTCAGACTGGTAACCTAAATTTAGACTCCATTTAGATTGTTTCTATTACTAAATAATTCAGTGTTAGTCGTGCAGGAGACAAGCTTGCCAGTAGAATAATTATTAGCTAATTGTGTAATTATTAAGCTGGGAAAACCAATAGCAACTTTAGTTCTACTGTGGACTTTGTCCATTTTTTGAATTTTTTGGTCACTGACTCAGATTCAAGAATTGCTCCATGTTGATGATTTTTTTCTTTACAAGGAGTGCTTTAACTCTCATGGTGTCTCTATTTGTGCAGAGATTAGTGTCTGATAAGGTGAGGAAGAGTCACCTGATATTTTACATGGCAAAATGGGAAGTAATTTTATTTTTTGCCTAGGAGAACAAAATTCTCAGCTTTATCAAGTGGAAAACTCTCATCTGTGGCATCTGCACTGAACCTTAAACTGTTCCTAATTAATTTTCATTTTTTAACATTGTCCTGACAAGAAGTGGGCAAGAGTAAATGGGATTTGTATTGACATTCATCTCCTAGAAACCTGGTGTAAAGCTGTCCCACTGATTAATTAAAAACCCCCAGGCTGTTTATTGGCAAGGTGCTGTTCCTGGGTGTAACACCACAAAGAAAGATGTGAAAGCGTGTCTTCAAAAACGGGGACACTGTGAGGAGAAGTGTGATGGGGAGCCAAGGGGGGGTACTGAGCTCGTGAGAGGTCTGAGGACCCGGAGGGTGGCACGCAACACGTGCTCCGTTATGTCTCGTCTCTCACCCACAGTAAATCCAAAGGCCCGGAAGTTCGGAGACTATTTTTTGGCTGGAATGTGTCCCACTGAGGTCCTGGCATTGTTGAAGGTCTTGTAATTCTTTGTAAGATTAGCATTACCAACACTGCTCGTTTATTTCACTTCTTTCACTGCACTTCAGCGGGCACCTCTGTTTATTTGCTAAAATGCAGGGGTTTATTTCTCTTGTCTTTTGCTTTGCTTTTTTCCAGAATATGTCAATGAGGTATGGAACAGACTTTTCAGGTGAGAAAACTGATGGCCTCCATCACTGCCAACTCAAACGTTACTGACCCACCTGCAGTAACTTGGAAGTAACTTCTGCAGGTTTTGCCTTGCTGCTCCAAAGCTCACTTAGCACGTTATTTCCCCAAGGAAGTTCTACGTTACATAAGCATGAAAATATAGCAGGTCTCATCTACATGAAAGCTTCCATGAAACCCAGACCCGAGGTACTAATAATTAATAACTGGCTCTGAATCAGAGCCATGAAGAAGCACAACTGCCAACATTGTTAAACAGAATAATGAGTTTCAGGATGTTCCCAGTAACACTCCTGTATATTTACTGGAGTGTACTCCTGTACTCTTACTAAAGACCCATCTTAATAAAGCTTTCTTGTAGCATGTTGAGAGAGAAAGACGCTGCTTTCTTCTTTTTCCATTATGCCCTACTTCAGACAAATGTTTGTGCTACATTTTTACTTTTCAACTCGGTCCAAATTGAGTTTTATTTGTTTATAGGGTGGAGAAAAATCCCTGGAGCATCCCGGGGCTGTGAATGACTCAGCAGGGGAGAGCGTGGGTCCCTCTCCATGTCCAGCTTCACGCGTGGCACCCACCCGCTGTTGGGTTGAGTGTGTCTGAGCAGTGTGGCAATGAGAAAAAGCAAAAAAGGGTCCAAGACAAGGAGGTAATAAAAATGTTGTTCCATGAAATCATACTTGTATTTAAAGTGCATGAAGTCCAGAGGGCAGGAAAAATGCTCTGAGGATCAGATCAAAGTGGCTTTGAGAACTCACTGTTAATGAAAAAGCATCCAAGATTCTTGTTATTCCTGTAGTTTCCTGCTCGGATTCAAGCCTTGTGTAGTAAATGCCATTTGCTGCTCTTCCAGAAACAAAGAAAATTGGTGTCCTGCAGGAAGTCTTCATGGTGCGAGTGATTCCTGCAGGACAGGGCGTTGTGGTCCCCACCTGTGCTCCCTGCGTTGACGAGGTCTTGGCTGGTCTTCTCCTGGCTGGGGGGCGGATTTCACAACCTCCACCTATCCCACCTCCCTGCAGCTGCAGACACTGAGCCACAACCACTCACAGACTAGGAAGAAAGATGCTTTTTACACAGAAGAGCAAGGTCTGGAATAATATTTGCACCTCCAGCTTTGCTGCAGGTGCTCTCAGTGACAGGGAGGTGAGGACCCAATCATCAACATTTGCTTTTTCCCCACAGATACCGAAAAGGTGGGTGGGTGGGTGGCTTCACCATCATCCCAGAGCTGGTGGGGTTCATAATGCACATGGTATAAGCACTGCAATAACTTGAAGGCTCCAACTCCTACCTTGCTGGCCACCGGCATTGCCAGGAGGAACCCTGGCTGCAGCTCATGGCCAGCAGAGCCAGGGGGCACTGGGATGGCTGGCAAGAAGAAACAAGGAGGTTGGATGAGAAGAGTTTCCTCAGGTAAAGAATAGATACATCAAGGGAAAAATAGCTTGCCTGGATTTCCACAGTATGAGGAGCAGATTTCTGGTAATTTTATCAGCAAGTTTAACATCATCTCTGATCCCACCACAGAATAAAATTAAGCTATAGGTTTAAATTTAAGCTATGGGTCCGTGTCCTGGTGAGTTGCTTTGAAAGGTGTGTTGTGGCAATGGCTGCACTTAAACCGACCCTATTTTCTTCCGTCAGCACGTGTTACTGGTGGCCACTTCTTTTTCAAGAGAGGAGATTAAGTGAAAATATACCCACAAAAACGCGAGGAGCGGGGATTACTGACTCCATCCCCAGCGAACCACTGAGTAGACGCTTCTATGTTTCCCAAAATACCGCGCAAAGAGGTGGGCGCCGAACCCCCCTCGCCCCGTCCCTTCCCGCGGGAGGCGCCAGGGGGCGCTGCGGCACCGCGGGCGCGGAGGCGGGGGGGTGCTGCGGGGGGAGCGGGTGTGTCCCCCCCCGCCCCGCTCTTCCGCCCATCCTCCGCCCTGCCCCGCATCCCCCGCACTCACACTCGTACCCCCTGCCCACCCACCCCCCAAAAACGGGAACCCGAAGGGGCCGCCGGTGGGGGAGCTACCGATCAAAGGAGTTGGCTGGATGGTGGCATCCAGAGGGTGGTACTCAATGGCTCGGGGTCCAGGTGGAGAGTGGTGACAAGTGGTGTCCCTCAGGGGTCCGTGCTGGGACCGATGCTGTTTAACATTTTTATCAATGATACAGACAGAGGGCTTGAGAGCACCATCAGCAAGTTTGCAGATGACCCCAGCTGGGTGGTGTTGTTGATACACCAGAGGGATGGGATGTCATTCAGAGGGACCTGGACAGGCTGGAGAGGTGGGCCCAGGTGAACCTCATGAGGTTCAACAAGAGCAAGTGCAGGGTTCTGCACCTGGGCTGGAACAATCCTGGCTCTCAACACAGACTGGGGGATGAGGTATTAGAAAGCAGCCCCAAGAAAAGGGACTCTGGCATCCAGAGGGTGGTACTCAATGGCTCGGGGTCCAGGTGGAGAGTGGTGACAAGTGGTGTCCCTCAGGGGTCCGTGCTGGGACCGATGCTGTTTAACATTTTTATCAATGATACAGACAGAGGGCTTGAGAGCACCATCAGCAAGTTTGCAGATGACCCCAGCTGGGTGGTGTTGTTGATACACCAGAGGGATGGGATGTCATTCAGAGGGACCTGGACAGGCTGGAGAGGTGGGCCCAGGTGAACCTCATGAGGTTCAACAAGAGCAAGTGCAGGGTTCTGCACCTGGGCTGGAACAATCCTGGCTCTCAACACAGACTGGGGGATGAGGTATTAGAAAGCAGCCCCAAGAAAAGGGACTCGGGGGTGCTGGTGGATGAGAAGCTGGACATGAGCAGGCAGTGGGCACTTGCAGCCCAGAAGGCCAACCACATCCTGGGCTGCATCAAAAGAAGCATTGCCAGCAGGTCCAGAGAGGGGATTCTGCCACTTTACTCTGCTCTGGTGAGACCTCACCTGGAGTATTGTGTGCAGGTCTGGAGCCCTCGATATAGGAAGGACATGGACCTGATGGAGCAGGTCCAGAGCAGGGCCACCAAAATGATCAGGGGGTTGGAGCACCTCTGCTACGAGGACAGGCTGAGGGAGCTGGGGTTGTTCAGCCTGGAGAAGAGGAGGTTCCAGGGAGACCTAACAGCAGCCTTCAGTACCTGAGGGGGGCTACAGGAGAGAAGGGGAGAGTCTGTTTACAAAGGCCTGCAGTGACAGGACGAGGGGCAATGGCTTTAAACTGGAGAAGAATAGATTTAGATTGGAGATTAGGAATAAGTTCTTTACTGTGAGGGTGGTGGGGAGGTGAGAGGCTCTCTCCAGACTGAGAGAGCTGGGGTTGCTCAGCTTGGAGAAGAGAAGACTCTTGGAACTGGATGATCTTTTAGGTCCCTTCCAACCTAAACCATTCTATGATTCTATCACCTGGTGCTACTCCCAGCAGGGAGAAGGGCTCCCATTGCTGTCTTCCTTCAAGGTGTCTGGCACGAGGGCAGAGATAGCCAGCAAGCGATGTCATCCACTGGAAACAAGCCTGTCCTCCAGATTGTGACCTGAGATGGGCAACTTTATTATTTTCAAGCTGCTTTGGCAATGGAAAGTAGGATGAAGGCCGTCATACACACAGCCCTCTTATTAAACTGCGGGTTTTCAGTAGTGCTATAGCGGTATGGTGAAGAGGGATGTCTCAGAGAATTTGAAAAATCATATCAAGGTGTAATTCAAGACCTGAGAAGTACAATACAAACTTGGGCACCTACTTGGGGCATTTTAGTTATCTACAACAGGAGATGAGATTATCAATCTATCATAAAAGATTATTTGTGTGTGTGTGTGTGCACATCCCTGGAAGTTCACCTGCAATTCAAGAAAACCAAGGTCCTGATAAATCAACCAACCAGGGATGTTCCTGGGTTTAAATCTCTCCTTGCTAATGCCAGTACTGTAACTCTGGAGCTTTGCCTACTGCCTTGGCAGAGATCCCTTGGTCCTCAGACAGACCATACATCCGAGGAGTTCTGTATCTGGGTTAAAAGAACACATTAAAATAAATAAGATAAGGTAACCTGACCTCGAGTTCTTAATGCAGCCCAGCTGGATAACTACACTGAGCCCTGAGTTCCCAGAAGCGATAGCACAGATCGGCAAAGGAAGCGGAGCAATTATCTTCAAACCACTCCACTGACAGATCTTAACCAGCCAGCCTGGCAGAGGGGACTTTGGCAGAGGCTTTTGTACTCACAAGCATAGAAAACAATCAATAGGAAAGCTTAACTTCCTGGACCTATGCTGAATACTAAGTTAGCAAAAGAGTACCTCATTATTATACTACATTTTTTACAAGGAAGCCGTGGGCAGAGGAAATGTGACTCACTACAAACACGGGGATAAAAAGGCCCTGTGAGAATGAACAAATAAAGCACTTGCAAGTGAGCTCCGCCGAGTGCCACTATCACATTCTTGTTGAGTCTCAGGACATTTCAGGATCCACTCCAAAAGTTCTTAGCTATTCATAGGACTAAAAATAGGTCTCGATGGCTAAATGGCAATGGTCAGCCAAAGCACAGAGTAGCTAAATACCACTGAACTTAAAAACTCTGGGCTCTTCCAAAAAAGACGAGGTAGGTGACAAATTTCTGGTGAAGTTGAACCAAATGTTGACGGTCTCAGTTTTTGTCCTCTGACATAACGTCTCTCCTTTCCGGCTTATGATTTGTTAGCAATAATATTGCACTGAAATATACACAAAAGCCCACGATTGGAAAACACTTGCCCTGGGGAAGTTAAAACAAACAGATGAATCCCACAGATATTTTACCCTGTCGTTAACGTGTCCCCCAGAGTTTCATCACTGCTCTAAAGGATGTTTTGAACAACATGCCAGGTTTTTTTTTCCATTCTTTCTCCTGATTGTCTGTCTTCTATCCCCTCTTCTCCTGAGTCCTCTACATTAGTCTCAAAATCACAAGACTCGGTACTTTTTTATATGGAAAGCGCAATGTTTGCAAGGTTTATTTCCATCAGCTGGCAGAAGAAAAAGATGTTAAGTATGAGAAAAGGAGGTGTTGGCTCAGTCTTGTGAGAAAAATGTAAAAAAGTGGCAACTTCAAAAAGTCTATGGAGGAATAAAAAAGAGGAATAACATTCCTCTTTGTCATAGGAGTGAACGGGTGATGCTGTGATAGAGAGTTTGGATTAATTCGGGAGGATGAGAATGAAGAGAAAGGGCTTGTGGCTGTATGGGACCGCAGGAGAAAGAGGCTTGTGTGCCTTGTTCCAGCTTTTCTCCCGGCACTTGGGGTGGCTGAGTCACACTGCTAACACTTGTGATGAGATGGAAAAATGAAGGCAGTGAGACTTGCCCACAAGACTTTGCTGCACAAAGGCAGCTGGCAGCGAGACCATGGTTGTGGTGGGGTCAGCCTGATCTGGAGCAACCACCCTCGCCCCAGGGGCCCACAGCGGTTTTAGTG